CCCTCAGGAACGGGATCCGTCCTCCGTCCCGTGATGTTGTCATGACAGCTCTGCCTTTGGCAGTGTTCCAGTTAGCCGGCCATATACTTAGCTCTATGGCTACCTCACAGATTCCCGTCTCACTCGTCCACACAATCAAGGGACTGTCACCCCTGTTCACAGTTCTGGCGTATCGGGTCTTCTTCCGAATTCGATATGCCAAAGCAACATATCTTTCTCTTGTCCCATTGACTTTAGGTGTGATGCTCGCTTGCTCGACAGGCTTTTCCACAAACCTCTTCGGCATACTATGTGCGTTAATTGCCGCATTGGTCTTCGTCTCGCAGAATATATTCTCAAAGAAGCTTTTCAATGAAGCGTCCCGTGCAGAGTCAGAAGCAGAACCGTCGAGCCGACGAAAATTGGATAAGTTGAACTTGCTCTACTATTGTTCCGGATTAGCCTTCATTCTCACACTACCTATCTGGTTCATAAGTGAAGGATATCCTTTGATTTCCGATATTATACAGGATGGCGCCATCTCGTTGTCGGGAAATAGAGGCTCACTGGATCATGGCGCTCTCTTCCTTGAATTCGTATTCAACGGAGTGTCGCACTTCGCACAGAACATACTGGCATTTGTTCTCTTGTCTATGATATCACCAGTTTCTTACTCCGTCGCATCTTTGGTGAAAAGAGTTTTCGTGATTGTTGTTGCGATCGTGTGGTTTGGAAGCTCAACGACATCCATTCAAGGTTTTGGAATCGCTCTTACCTTTATTGGACTCTACCTCTACGATCGCAATAGCCACGATGATCTAGCGGACCAGAGAGCAAATGCTGATCATTTCCGCACAAGGGAAACTGTCCTTCCATTGAACGCCCAGACTGCAGGCAAAGTTTGGGACTCAAATGGCTATGGCGCTTCGGCAAGCAAGCTCTCTCACTATCAGTCACCAGATGGCCCTACCTCGCATGCAAATACACCTAAGAAAGAAGATGATGACCAGGGCCGTGTCCGTCCCAGAGGAGGCAGTAGCTCCCGGGTGTGGCTACCTCCTGGCACAAAGCAAGAGACCACTTGGAAGGCGAATGATTCCTAGGTCTCTCATCTCTTGGATGTCATCTTCATTGTCTTTGTTCTAAAACATCCGCTGTCTGATTATCTTTTGAATTTCGAATGTAGCATATTACCATGGTCTCTAGTGAGGTGGCATCAATATTGTAACAGACGCATTCTCTGACCAATCTGAAGCTATGCATGCCTAAGCATATCTTCAGCTTGCATAGTTATATCAGCCTCATTGATAGCAAAGTTGGGCTATAGTGCTGGAAAACGAGTATACATGTCGATACCCGGCGAAAGTTATGCTAAGGATGAGTTGAATGAGTCTTGGTGGGGAGGGGCAACTACTGCTGCGACGCTCTGCTTACGAGATCGAGCTCCTAATGTTGACCCAAGAGCACTTTTACTATACAACTTAAATTTTCAAGCTACACATGTCGGTTATGCACCGTATGGTTTACCGAAGAAACAAGCCATTAGAAGCTTGCGGTCAACACGTTACATCCACTACGTAGCAAAGGATATTGAAATTATTATCAGTGCATTCTTTGTCCTTCAATTCCCTTATATAGAAATAGCGATAGATGTAGCGACTGTCAGTAAAGAACTATACCCTCATCAGGTGATCCTCGATGAATAACCCTAAGGAGCTCCAGCTCAGTGCATCTTCTTCTTGGGTCATGTTGCAGAGGAGGAAGGGAAGTGAAGAACCCTGCCACCTACAATAAATCATGCCCGTGAATGAGTTATGTTGAGAAAAGAGAAAAGAGGAAGGAGAATAGCACCGGAAGGGCTTATTAAGAAAGAAAAGGGAGTAGTGCGGACTAATATATCCTCCGGATAGCCGAGCCAATCCGCAGGCGGCAATTTGCGAGTGACGCCCCGGCTCATGGCTGGCAGAATCCGAACCAAGCCAAAAGTGCTCCCTCCCATTAAGAATCACCCAGCACTATAGACTTCCACCGACGCTTCCTGATTACCTCCATTGCGCTTGCTACTTAAATTTACTCTATCCTCTCACGTTTGCTTCTATTCACAGTATGCGGCCGCAGTTATCTCGTGCGGCCGCCCGGCTCGTCCGGGTTCCCAAGGTCAACTACCCCAGGACTTTCGCGACGACAATTCCTCGCTCCGCTGAGGTTGAACTCACAATTGGTAGGCTATATGCTTCTTGCTGAACTACATAGCTTTGCTAACCTCCTTTGTTAATCTAGATGGGAAGAAAGTCTCAGTCGAAGGTGATTCCGCGTCTCAATCCATGGCTTCTTATCATCTTGCTTACATGGCTTAAAGCTGGCTCCGCTCTCATTCAGGCTTGTGAGAAGGCAGGCGCCACGGTTCCCAGGTATTTCGACCCAAAACGTCATTACTGTAGAAGATAACTAACAATAATTGACAGATACTGTTATCATGAGTATGGTCCATATTGCCAAATGCCATTGTTTTGAGTACTAATTGAATCACAGGAAACTCTTGATTGCAGGAAACTGTAAGTTTATAATTGTCATCGAGTTATTGAAGAGCTCGCTAATATTTTTGCCCCTTCTCTTAAGGCCGTATGTGTCTAGTCGAGGTCGAACGGGCGCCCAAACCTGTGGCATCATGTGCTTGGCCTGTGCAGCCCGGTATGAATGTCAAGACGAATTCACCACTTGTACACAAAGCTAGGGAGGGTGTTATGGAATTCCTTTTGGCCAACCACCCTCTTGATTGTCCGGTCTGTGATCAGGGAGGCGAGTGTGACCTGCAAGACCAGTCAATGAGGTACGGCGCCGACCGTGGGCGTTTCCATGAAGTTGGTGGCAAGCGCGCGGTTGAGGACAAGAATATTGGACCCCTTGTCAAGACGTCTATGAACAGATGCATTCACTGCACTCGATGTGTTCGATTCATGAACGATGTTGCTGGTGCTCCCGAGCTGGGAACTACTGGCAGAGGAAACGACATGCAAATCGGTACCTATTTGGAGAAGAACCTCGATTCGGAGCTGTCCGGCAACGTCATTGATCTTTGTCCTGTTGGTGCTCTCACTTCGAAGCCTTATGCTTTCCGTGCTCGTCCTTGGGAGTTGAAACATACGGAATCCATTGACGTGCATGACGCTTTGGGCTCGAATATCCGAATTGACAGCCGAGGCATGGAAGTAATGCGTGTAATCCCAAGACTTAACGACGACATCAACGAGGAATGGATCAACGACAAATCTCGGTTCGCGTGTGACGGTCTGAAGACTCAACGACTTACGACACCTTTGATTCGCCGAGAGGGCAAGTTCGTTCCGGCTACTTGGGAGCAGGCCCTGAGCGAGATTTCCTCCGCTCAGCAAAATTTGCAGCTTAAAGAGAACGAATTCAAGGCCATTGCAGGACACCTTGTGGATGCCGAGTCGCTTGTTGCCATGAAAGACTTGGCTAACAAGCTTGGATCCGATAACCTCGCTCTGGACCAGCCTGGTGGCAGCTCGCCCCTTGCCCACGGTGTTGACGTTCGCTCGAACTACCTTTTTAACTCCAAGGTCTACGGAATCGAAGAGGCTGATGCTATCCTCCTTGTTGCTACCAACCCTCGCCATGAGGCCTCTGTCCTCAACGCGCGTATCCGTAAGCAATACCTGCGCTCTGATCTGGAAATTGGACTTGTTGGGGAATCATTCGACAGCACTTTCGATTTCGAGCATCTTGGATCTGACGTCAACGCTCTCAAGGCTGCCCTTTCGGGTCAGTTTGGAGAGAAGCTCGCTTCTGCTAAGCGTCCAATGATCATCGTCGGTAGTGCTGCGGCTGAACATCAGGACGCGAAAGCGATTTTTGAAACAGTCGGCAGCTTTGTTGAAAAGCATGGCAACAACTTCAACACCCCAGAATGGCAAGGCTACAATGTTCTCCAGCGCGCGGCATCTCGTGCTGCAGCCTACGAGGTTGGCTTTACCACACCGTCTCCCGAAATCTCCCAGACCAAGCCTAAGATGGTTTGGCTGCTGGGAGCTGATGAGGTTACTACAAGTGAAATCCCAAGCGATGCGTTCGTTGTCTACCAAGGACACCATGGTGATCGAGGCGCTCAGCTTGCTGATGTTGTCTTACCTGGTGCAGCCTACACTGAGAAGTCTGGCACCTACATCAACACAGAGGGCCGTGTTCAAGTTACCCGAGCAGCGACTTCGTTGCCTGGTGCAGCTCGTGACGACTGGAAGATTATCCGTGCCACCAGCGAATTTCTCAACATTCCTCTGCCATACGATGATATCGAAGCTCTTCGCGATCGCATGGAAGAGATTAGCCCTGTGATGCGTCGATATGACGTCGTCGAGTCCACCTCCTTGGGCTCCCTTAGCAAGGTTCAGTTGGTCGATCAGAACAAGGGCACACAACCAACTGGAGCGCCTTTCAAGCGTGTTATTGAAGACTTCTACTTCACTGATTCCATCTCTCGAAGGTATGTAGAAGCGATGACCGTAATTTTGTGTGAGGAAACATTTCTAACTATGTTATAGCTCACCTACGATGGCCCGCTGCTCAGCAGCCAAGGCGACGGGTAATCCCGAAACCAATTTCATGGCTGCTGGAGAGATGTCGCCCCAGGCTTTGTATGGTTAAGATTAACACTTGTAGTTCTGATCTCCCGGTTTATCCTTATTATAGGTCTAGGCGTTGTCGTTGTAACACCTAAACATCATTTTTCTTCTGTTCATTCCTCCCAGTAATGCGTACTGCTATTGGTTTTTTCCCTCGCAGTCTAGTCTCTTGAGATGCGTGAGGATGCGTCACTAGTGATGAATTTGTATATAAGTTCAAAATAAGCTTGAGAAGCTTAACGAGGTCGTATACTTTCAGAGATATCCTTGTATGGAACGAACCATCGAATAGATCAGTTCACATATACTACAGAGTTAGATCATCGAAGAATTAGGTACATAGTCATGGTTGCACGAGGTTTTATTCCCTTCGCTATGTATTCATAGCTCATCGTCGTCTGTCTCGCCTGCAGTTTCTTCGGCAGTGTCGTGCTGATGCTGTATATTCTGTACGGTGTCTTTGCTTGATTTTGACCCTTTGGTGAATGGAAGCTCCCTGCGGGGTGGAGGTGACTGTTCTTGCAGCCTAGGTGGATGGTGAGCTTCTTCCATATTGTTCTGTTCACTTATTCCCTGATCGACGCCGGACGCTGTGGGCAAATCTTCGTCAGTGGTATCATCTACACCCACATCCTCCAATGGCTGCGGAGTCGAATTTGGTTCGTCATCCGTGTCTATCATTCTTCTTGGACTGGATTGATGCTTGGTCTGATCCAAACTCTCCGAGCCATTATCGCTTTCAGCCTCGTCATCGCTCGTTTCCACAATAGGACGTTTCGCATGCTTCATGCTCCCGACACGGGCCCCAACTTTTGATGAGGCAGCCCGACATTGACCAGCTACATTTTTATCATTCCAGTATCAGCTATTGTTGTTTTAACTCAGACATGCGACCTTACCATCGTCCACATCAATTTTCGCCGAAGCCAACAAGCGTTGTTGATTGCGGATTTTGAGCTTCTTCTGATTTAGAACCTGAGTAAAGTTTGTCATAAGCTGTTCCTCATGGCGGGATTTTGCAGTGATGAAGTCCTCAATTTGCTTATTGAGCTGCTTGATGGTATTGTCGGCTGCGCGATACTGCTGTTGCAATCTTAATAGCCGCTGCTCAAGCATATCAGCTCTGGCAATGGCGACGGCGGACCAGTCGAAGAGCTGAATATCTTGTTCATCATCCTGCTTGAGCGCTATAGAACCGAGTCTTTGCTGTGAATCATCAGCACCACATCATTATATTATTTGGTGGTCAGGTTTACAGTTATAGTTTGGATCCTCCGGCGAATAGTGAGGACCAGTTGATTGCTCTGCCTACCTAATGCCTTAATACTAGCGGATAGTTCGACACCAGATAGCAGCTCTGATTTATCTGTATTGATCTCTAGCTGACCCAAGGCACGCAGCAAGATAAGATCCCAGTCCTCATCGGTTCCCTGATAACTCTTTGAACGATGAGTCTGCGCACGAGACTGTTGCACTATTGTGACTTAGTATATCACAATACTTCAAGAAGGAACAGGTAAAGGGAACAGCATTATGGACTCTCCATACCGACCCCATTATACGGAAATTCTCCTTCCGTTGCAGCGAGATTCAAGTCTAATGCAGCCGAACTGGTACGTGTGACATGGAGAAGCACATAACTGTCGGGCTCATCAGACCTGGGGACACGTAGAACCCGAGGTGACCCATTTTCAGACGTAGACATATTGCTTTGAATTTAGCTGACAGAACTTGATGCAGTATAAAGCTATTGCATCTTACTTTATATAATGACGAAATTGTGATCTGTCTAGGCTGCCTAGGAGAGGGTGGAGTGCTGCCTGGACAAGCTGTAACTATAAGCTTTAGCCGCAAGAACCCCCAAGCTATGAAGTCCGAGCTTCGGAATCGGTGTTATGTAACTTCAGCAACTGTGGCAAGATTACCAGTCAATATTGCGACAACAGACGACTTTATCCTGAGCTAGACCTGGTATCTACAGTGGTGTGAAGCAGTACGAGGTAGTACTCGGTGAAACTGCGGTACTGGAACTCCGTTCAATTGCTGCGATCGGCCGACTATGTGGATCGTCGTTGCGAGTATCCCAGCAACAGACAGTCAACTAGTAGTCTACCTAAGACCTATGCAGTGCTAATAAAGGGACTAGCGAATGCTGAGTGGGTAGCAACTTATTACTGTTTAGGAGGCCATTTAAGGAGATGTAGCAATATCCAATAAAAAGGGAAGAAAATGGTGATACTAAAGCCAAGTTTGGTCCAAAACGAACATACTTTGGAGTACTAATTCTCGTCAACATTGCCGACAGTACAGCCAAGCCCCTCCGCCCTTTTTTCTTGCCGTACTTTCTTTCCCTATGGCATCACATTCATCATTTTTGGCATACAGGCGAGGTTTGGTAGCTGGCTCCGTGATCGTTCGTTGTTAATCATCATCTGGTGCCATCGCGCTCTTGAGTCGGCGTTACGTCCATCCCATGCTTTTCCCTTGTTCATATTTCGCAGGTTGCGTTCCTCACCTCCGTTCCATTCCCTTCTAACTCCCACGCACCACGCGCCAATACTCGAGCGAATTCCTGAGCACACTCTCTGACCTCACGTTGACCAATCTGTCTGCTTTCTGTTGAATCTGGGCATTACATGCGACTACTTGTTTGGCCTCGCAACCTCCCGCCCATATAGATAGCGGCTTCTCAGTCGAGTTTCCCTTATTTGGGACACCATCAGGCTTCCCCCTCACGCCTCCTGACGCTATTGCTTTTGTTTTCTTGCCGATGCACGATCATACGTCGTCTATCCGATTCGAGTAATTGACGCATAATCACAATCTGACTTGTCTTACCAAACACGGAATGACTTTGCTTTCCCTTGGCAGCCGAATCTCAGCGCTCGTGTGCTTCCAATCTGCTACCTAAAACCCCGAAGATCTTTGATCTCCTACATGAGCATACGACAATATAGTGCGAGAACATGGCTCCATTCACCCTTGAGGTACGCCATAGTGAGGAAGAAACGATCGAGTGTTGGGACGATGACGATGATCTACAATGCTATGAGGATATCCAGCTACGAGCCGCATCGACAGCTACATCTGTGACGACATCGTCAGTGCGTCGGTCGGGGCACCGAGATTCGATTTCATCGCGTCGCTCAGGACGTTCCGACATTGATTCCAACGCAGGAGGCGACGAAGATTGGCAGGTTCAGCTGTTGGACAATGACGAGATCATCACCGAAGAAGCTATTGCCTCTGCCAGAAACGCTGGGATACCTTTGCCTACGAACGTCCCTCGGTCGGCGCTCATTGGAGGCACCATCAAGCGTCTCGGACACAGAAAGCAGAGGAAGGATATTGTCGACGACTGGTCAGATGACGTCGAATTTCCAGGTCCTGACAGCTCCCTTGAACTAAAGCGTTCGCTTAATACGTGTTTTCCTGAATCTCTTCGGCAAATCAATTCCGCTGCCGCAAGCCCGACCAAAACCTCCGCCCCGTCTTTTTGGGATAGCGAGGTCTCTACACGCCTTCAGTCAGCTCTTGCTATCACCTCTATTTCACCACAAGATAGCGGACTCGCTGATACTCAAGATGTTCCTACAATTAGAATTGCCAGGCCTCGGTCGCCAGACAGAGCAACGCTTATCGATAGCCCGCCCCCTGAGAGAGGCCAGGATTCCACAGACAATTTCGAAGATGATTTCGAGTTACCGACGGATGACATTCTACTCCGCCTGTCTCCTAGAAAGACAGCCATGGAAACTGCAGGTCCTACTCCTGACGATATCGACGTAGATTGGTCAGAAGGCAGTATTGGAGTACGGTTCGGGGGCACTGCAAGAGATCATCCATCAAATCCGAGCTCTTCGGTTTCCGTTGTCAGCCCAAGTTCATCGAGTTGTCTCACGGCTGAGAGTGAAGATGAGGGCCTTGATGGCATCGTCATCCCAGAAGGCCCGCTTGACTTTGAAGCATCCTTGAGGAAGCGGAAAGAATCGCCCAGTGACGACGTACGGTTAGAACGGCCTTCAGTTAATCAAGCGCCACTCGTTACTGACGACTTCTTCTCGGGCCTTGAAATCAATAATGGTGAAGTATTCGATCCTCGCAGGCTGTCGATAAACCCTAACGTCAAGTGTAAAACGGAAATTCCCAAGAGTCCTGCGCGGCACTCGACAACCACAATCACATTCACGAACACGGCGATTTCCCCAAAGACTCGAATTCCACGCCTTTCAGGACACGACCGTCCTCATTCAACACACCTCGAGACTGTGTCGGAGAGCGGTGCTCCCTTGTCAAGGTTTCGGTCATCGCAGCGCCGGGCTGGGGGTCATTCCTCACAGTCTTCCGTCTCCAGCCTTCCTGGGTTTACCTCCACATCTCAAATGCCGTCAACCCCTAGTCGACGGCCCATGGGGGCCGGTGTATCAAATGATAGCTTTGTTAGTGAACGTGTAACTTCGGGAAGGCAACTACTAAGGGCCAAGCGCTCAATGCCAACGTTACGAAATATGCATCAGGCTATCTCAAATTTTCAAAGTCTGCCTACAGCTCAAGATGGTTCGGACGTGCCTAAATATTACGCCACCCGACCAAAGACTCCTGTTGACCGGTTAGGAATCGATGCGAAGACTTTCGCCCGTAAACCTCAAGCACCATTCCTCCCTGCCGGTGCCTCGGATAAGCAATCGCATCATGCCAGCGTCAAAAATCATCGATACAATCGTCGGTCCAGTTCAGATGGCCCCAATGACGCCACAAATTCTCAAGGACATGGAACCCGACTGCCGCGATCTACTCGCCATGACACAACGGGTAAGACTCTCAATGAGTCAAGTCCAGAGACATTAGTCGCTGCAAGCAAAAGAACACTTACGCGACCTACTCGACGGCGTAATTTTGGCGATGGTTCTGAATTAGCACTTTTTGACGATTTGCCCACATCTTCTTCAGCAGAGAAGAGATTCGTGAAGCATCCTTCGGGGCGAGGTGTTCCGAGAACACTTAGGAGTAAACTAAGCCACGGCCAGTCTAACTCAGCGAAGGCAGATGCCACAAGTGAACAAGCCACACCTAGTGCTACAGTCAGGCTAAACAATGTTACGCCAAGATTCGCACGGGATACAAACGCTTCGAGGAATGCGAGAGAACAGCGCATTGCATCGTTAACAAATACGCCAAAGAGCCGCGACAACCACCCACTTGCTCCTCTTGGGATGAATTGGAAGCCTGCGAATGTCTCGCGGGTGCCGTCGAACTCGGCAACTATCCGGAGCAGGAAAAGCAAAGCCGCGCCAATGCCTGTCTCCAAACCACAATTGATCAAACCCATGGGTACGGGTGTGCAAGAGCCCAAATGTAAATTCAGCTCCATTACTTGATATGAAAAGTGCTGACATCCTTAGCTGTTAACGGTATGCGTTATAATCCTAATTCTTTTTGCTGGGAGGGGAATGAAAATCTAGTGCAAGATTTTGACACCATGTCCCCCAAGTCACCAAAGCCGACCCCTGCTCTTATCACGAACATAGGTGCTATGAAGAATGTGCAAGTCGTCGGCGGAATGGTGTTTGATCCACAACGTATGTGCTGGCTCAAGTTGGCGCCATTTCAGCCGGGGAAGGATGGACTGGTTGCTATTCAAGACGAAGATGATGTCTTTGCAGGTCTAGATGACCTAAAAGAGCCGTCTAATACTGCTGGTGGACGAATGTCGGGCGCCTATGATGAATTCGGTCTCGCGACCAGTGGTGATGACCGCAGCTACGAAGATTCTTCGGACGAATGGCCCATGACGGAAGAGTTTGACGTGGGCCCAGAGTTTATCAGGCGCCAGCGTGCGGAAGAAGACAAGTGGAGGCGTAAGGTCGATAGATGGACCACTCATGATCGTGAGAGGTTCGGGGACGGTTGGAGATGGGCTATCCGAGATCTGGTGAGATTCAATAGCACGCTCAGCGCACAGCACCTTGACCGCACATGATTCGGTCGCAAGTGGCGCTTCCAAGAACAGGGGGTCCGAGAGTATCAAAGAAGTGGTGAAAGGCCGCTGCTGTTGCATTGAAGCAGCCCCTATTGGCCTGTGCACTCCAACCCTGCTGCCAGCTTTCCATGGCAAATATTGACGAGAAGGGAAGAACTCATGATTTTTCTACGAGACTATGACTTAAAGAGATGCGGTTTGCTTTGCTTTTTATGAACCGATTGGTGTATGTAACTTACTACCATGTCATTGATGGACAGATGACTTTCTCGAGGATGTATAATAACTGATCATTCTTATGTGAATCCTATTGTAAATGTTACGGGGAATCCAGGAAGGTATTTCTAATTCAAAGAGCATATGGCTACTGGCGAGGGTGCTTGGACCCAGGATGTTGTAGAACATATCAAGTCTCTTACCCGTGGTAGCGCCTCGTCATTCTATAAGACTTGGATTGTCCAGGTAAGTAGTAGTAACATATGCTTGCTATATCCACCTATGGGGATAGTTGCGGATTTTCCATGAACTAATGTGGTCAGCATGGCTAATAATAACTACTTTACAATACCTACATGGGCTGGGTGTGTTCATACCGCTTGGCATGTTAGGGCTGGGCGAATGAGGCTGACAGAGATGGTCTTGAATTAACAGAACTTCTTGGAGTGATCCATTCCTCATATTTACGAAATGTAGCTTTCCTGTATTATTTTCACGTTCATGTCTAT